TGAGATCAGCAGTATCACAATTTGATAGTGGCTGGTAGGATTGACACCAAACCTGGCCACATTGAACTTGTTTACTACACTTTGTGCATGATATTCCATTGTTCATTTTCTAATGTAAAATGGACAAGGAAATAGGAAGGGGTAAAGAGTGTAAACCTTTTGTTGTTGTTCTCTACAGATTTCAGTGAGGCAGTGATTGAAGCTGTGCGGAAGCGGCCAGGTCTGTGGGACAAGAGGTCCAAGGATTATGCGAAAAAAAAATCTGCCAAGGAGTACGACTGGCGGATCGTGGCAGAGGAGTGCCGCTCGGAAGGTGAGGCACCTTAGCTGCTTAGCAGTATAAGAACTGCTTATTGTAACATAAGTAGAGCAAAGTGGCCAACTTGAGTAATCTGTCCCAAAATAGCATGTGCACATAATATCGATTTAATATAGCAACTGGTTAGTACAACCCCACCCCATGTATAACTATATCACAGTGGAGGTCTTGTGTCACATTGATTGAGAATCACTTTTAATATATTCGATGGCCGATTGTGCCATGATTAAATGATATATATGTATGAGAGAAATTCTGATCACTAATATTGCAATAATGCTTATTTGATGAAATTCACCAAAGTGCAAATGTAAGAGTACCTAAGCTTAAAGCTTTTGTCTTACTGCATTTTTAAGTTCTATGTTCAATTTCAAACTGTGTATTCTATGGGTGAGAACCTACATATGACCTTGGGTGAGAATGCCATTGGTTTTAGTTGAGATTCTTTGACAATTTTTCCACAGTCGATCTCGTGAAAGAAAAATGGCGTCACGTCCGAGACTATTATATCGCTCGCCGACGCAAACAACCACCGAGTGGCTCCTCAGCCAGCGCTGGTCGCCAGCTGGGCCGATACGGCCAGATCCTGAGCTTCTTGGATCCCGTGGCTCAGCGTGGACCGTACGTAAATCCAGTCCCTTTTATGCCTTTATTCCTTTAAACGCCACCCACGGCTAGTGCGGTGAGCGGTGTAAAATATAGCGTGCACCTGTGATGCTCGTTCGGGCCAGACCCACATAACGTTGATGATATTGTGTGATAATGATGTGCAGTATGTGTTTTCCTATCTGTACTGTACCTAACCTGTGCTGTGCAAGGGTGTGATATGGTGTGCTGCCCCGTTGTGCTGTACTGAGTTGTTCTGGGGTGTGGTATGTTCAGCCTCCCAAAATTATATTTCGGCTTGGGTGTCGGAGGGGAATATTCGTCACTAGAACGAGGGCTGAGAGTGGAAAAATGCCAGTCAGAAAGGCACAAAAAGAGTGGAAAACAGAGATCAACAATGTATTTGTGAATGTTGAAGGATGTGGGAGCTGCTTTATAAGATAATTGAATCGAAAATGGAGGGATGTAAAAATGGAGGGGCCCAACACTTGGCCGGTTGCCCCTGAGGTGATGTATGGTGCTTTGTCCTGTCTGTGCTGTAGTGAGCTGTGCTGTATTGATATGTGCTGTTATGAGCTGTGTTGTATTGAGATGTGCTGTCATGAGCTGTGTTGTATTGAGATGTACTGTCATGAGCTGTGTTGTATTGACACGTGCTGACTGCTGTAATGAGCTGTGCTGTATTGAGATGTGCTGTCATGAGACATGCCCTTCTGACCTGTATGACATGGGTGAGCCATGGAGTATAATGTCCCTTCCTCCGGCTTTTATCATGTAGTTATTGTGTGTTGTGTGCTGTTTCTTCTTTGACGTTCTGTCCTTGACCTGTAATACCTATCCTTCTCCTAGAACCACCTCGTCTGCTGACTTCCGCCGCCCAAACTCGGTGGGACCATCTCACCCTGCTCCTGCTCCTGTTCCTGCCGAGTCGGACCTCCTTCTGGATGATGATGGGAGTATCCCGGTTGGGAGCTACGAGGAGGTGGACGAGAACGAGACGCAGTTTTCGGCGGTCCCGATGGAACCTGGCACAGGGGGCGCACAGACCCAGGACAGCACGCCAGACACAATCAATGACGCAAGCCCAGCACCGCACACAAATCCAACACCGAGCACAAACACAACGGCCACAAATCCAGCACCGATCACAAACGCAGCACAGAACATAAACGCCACACCAAGCACCTCTCACTACAGAAACCATGCACAAGATCAGCAAACAACGCCACAGCAGTCATCGCAAACCACCAGAACACCAAAACGCAAGCTGGGCCCATCGCCTGATGTGGACCGGGCCATCATGGCGGAGCTGCAGCGGGGGCGTGAGAGGCAGATGGAACGGGAGAGGGAGCGAGATGCGGATAGTGAATACCACTTCTGCATGTACCTGTATGCAGAGTTGCGGAAGAGAAACGGCGCGGCCAGAAAGGAGATTAAGAGGCGTTTTTGCGCGGTCCTGGATGATTATGATTCAGAGTAGCTGCGTGTCGTCAGTGTGGTCCGCTTTATGCGCGACGGTGGTTAAGAGACGTTAATCGTCGTGAAATGTGCTAGTTTCTTCATAAATATGAATGAAATCAGACTTTTACGACTAGACATCGCAGTTAGTCAATTGCCTCTCGGCTACTTGTCATGCATTGTTCTTTTTGTTGAAAACGGCTTCGATGCGCTCTTCCTTATAGACTGGACAAAAATCATAACAGCCGTGATATGTTGTCATTTTGTTTCTGTGTTTGTTATTTCGTTATCAGTTAATCTCACCTGTATTTGTGCATATGGGCGTGTGTGTCTAGACCAGGTGTGTGTATGAAGTGATTGGTTGTATATATGACGTGACATTGGGCTGGGCGTCTGTGCAATTTTCGATAGAGGAAGCGATTGTTGAAATTTTCGACTTATTCCACGTTTTAACATTGAATAAATGGTCATATCAACAACTTGTTTAGGCTTCCATAAGCAAATGGTTCCGGATGTACGAGCTGGATGACTCATATCATGGTATTGACCATATCATATCATTGACCCTTAATGTTGTAACAATATGTCTCCTAGTCAGCATTCAGGTCATGGTCTACATAGGCACGTATAAATCTAGTCAGGCGCGCGCCATACTAGATAGTTCTAGTCGGAAACACCTCATCCCTGTTAACGCGGGCTCTGATGTCACAAACATACGGAATACGAAATGCCAACGAATCAGTTTATTACGTTGCTCCAAGGCACACCACGAGAGGCGGCGCGACTCACAACGAGAGGGAGAGGCGGCGCACGCGCGGCTCACAACGAGAGGAAGAGGCGGCGCGGCTCGCAACGAGAGGCGGAACCGCTCACAACAAGCGGTGGCACGGCTCACAACGGGAGGCGGCAAGGCTCACAACGAGAGGGAGAGGCGGGGAGGCACACAACGAGAGGCGGCGCGACTCACGAGCGGCGGGCTGACCATGGCGGGACGATGCTGCTCAACATCGAAGTCCTCGCTCCCCGTGCCGGTGCTGGCGGTGCGGCGCGCCTACCGGCGGATGCTGTCCAGCTGCCAGGGGACGCTGCCGGCGCCGCTGAAGTAGCGGACGAGGCTGTTCCGCACACCGGCCGCCTGCTGAGGGTGGTTGTGAGTGGCGCCCACGTCGGTCACTTCGCGAAGGCCGCCGACCTCACCTCGCTCCTCCGGCGCCACGCAGCTGTAGCCGCCCGGCCCACCACGTGACAGCTCCTTCTCGCGCAGCACATTGTGCAGTACGCAAGTGGCCTGCACGATCAGCTTCGTGGTTGCCACGCTGCACCCGATCGGCCCACGGTACACTCGCCAACGCTGGGCCAAGATGCCGAAGGCGTTCTCGCTGGTCCGCCGGGCGCGGCTCAGGCGGTAGTTAAACACGCGCCGCTCCTCGGTTGTTAGCGCTGAGCCTGGAAAGGGTCGCATGAGGTGCTCACGGAGGGGGAACGCCTCGTCTCCCACAAGCACATGAGGCAGCGGCTCGGCGGACCCGGGAAGAGGCTGTGGCCCTGGCAGGACCTGCTCACCGCCGCTCCCCTGTGCCTCCAGCATCTGCGCCAGGTCGCACGCCCCCCACACGCCACCGTCGCTCTCCTGACCATTGGCACCCACACTTACATAGGTGAACCGATATTTCGCGTCGACCACTGCCATCAGCACAATGCTGCAGTATCCCTTATAGTTGTAGTTCATGGACCCGCTGTTGATCGGCTTCTCCATCTGAACGTGCTTCCCATCGAGCGCCCCTACGCAGTTCGGGAATTGCCATTCCCGCTCGAAGTCGAGCGCATGCTGCCGCCACTGCTCCGGCGTGGGCAGCGCCAGGACGTCCGGGCCGAGGATCTCCCATATGGCGGCGCACGTTTCGGAGACGATGGTCCGGATCGTGGCGAAGCCCAGCCGGTACGACTCCGCGACCGACTTCATGGTCCCGCCAGCCGTGAGAAAGCTGAAAGTAGACATCAATTATCAGCTGCGCGTGGCTAAAAAAATCAAGGCATATTGTGACCCTCAGTGATCTGAACTCTGTGACCTGACCTGGTGTCAGTGACCTCAAATAGCAAAATATGTGTTTGACGAACAATTCCCCATCGATGATTCGCCCGAAGGTCAGGTCAGGTCAATGACCTTTGATGACCTCGGTTCACTTTTTCGAGTTGTACATGTTTCTAGGCTAGTTTTTTTAAGCTGAATTCGAATTTAGCAACCATTTAACATTTACGAAGTAGTTTTGGTGCCTTCGTAACATGTTGCGAAGCTGTCAGAGGCAGTTGACATGTACATACTACGAATACCCGGCAGGACCCCTACTGGTTGACCTGGTTGACCCTACTGGTTTCCGCGAAGCTCGAGCTCGATCAGGGGCCAAACGGCAAGGGGTCCAACGGACCCCCCCCCCCCCCTCCAACACACACACCTTATGCCGTATGCGTTCGCGGCCCTGGCAAAACACCAGTACGGGTGTTGTGAGACTGTGAGAGCAGCGCTGTATTGTGGGGCTGGGAGCAGCTCTGTTCCTCGGTTACCCTGATTCGTGGCGCCACCTGAGCGGTCCGCCGAGAAGCAGTCGTTAAGGGGCTAGCCGCCAGACGGCGCTGCGCTCTCTCTGCGGGGCTGTGTCGTGTGTGCGCGGTCGCGTCTGTGTGGGCTCCGTGCCTGTTTTCGCCTGAGTTTAGAAATCTACGTTTTATCCAGCCACCAATAGTTTTTAAGGCAAGCGGATCACTCGGACGAACTCAAGGCGGCAACACGGGCGAGGGTCAAAGGGCAGTCAAGATGCACCCTTAATTCACTAACCCCGCCACCCTTAATTCACTAACCCCGCTTCAGCCTTCAGGTGGTGAGAGTTGGCGTTTACTCACCGCAGTGTTGCAGCCAGACGCTCAGCAGCAGGGACGGAGTCTCGTAGGTGCGTATCTTGTTTGGCGATCACTGGTCCCACTTTAGCAAGGATTTCATCGAACTCATCGGCAGACATCCGGAAATACCGACGGTGACCTTCCGGGTCCTGCTGCCGGAGCTCTTGTACCAGAGTGTGGAACTCACCACACTGCTCCCTCCGCAGCAGGACCGGGCGAACCCACAAACTCTGCCGCTGCCTCGCGCGACGCCGGCGCAGCAACAAAACTCTCAAAAGACTTTCACGGTCCATTTATCTCTGCATTATCTATTCGAGTTAACATATAAACATCTGGCGATGAACAGTAGGTACGGAGTTGGCACAGCACATAAAATCGAAATCACGACAATGGCAAATATTGACAGCAAGTAAATAAAATAATGTCACGCGCTTCAGGATGACAAGCAAAAAACGATATAACGCAAAAACCGACAAATTGCAAAACCGATTTCACGCAAAAACCGATGTCTCGGATAAAACGCGCGTAAAAAAAAAACGCGTAGTGGAGCCCGGCCTTTAGAGTTGTGACTTGTAGATGTCCTATCTCTACCAACCTCAAACCTGCATTCAGAACCCTGTGCAGATTATTGCAGATTACCTCAGAACGGTGTGAGGCTGCTTAGACTAATATGGTGCTCGAATGACCGGCTTGGACCCCCCCCCCCCCAACACTATCGGGTGACCTCACATGGAAAGAGGATTCTCAGATCGATTAGAAGTTCTTTTTTTTTTGGGGGGGGGGGGTATTCATGTGTTTAGGAGGTGTCTTGCAAGCTGGACCACTCTCACGAAATTATAGCCCAATTCTAGCATGCTTAGCTAATCCTAGCAATCTTAAACTGAGGGGCGCGGGAACTACTTTCCGACTGGGGGGGGGGGGGGTACACCATAATAGAGATCAACCTAGGGTACCCCCAAATCTAGTTTTCTCACCGGTTTTAGGCCACTTATTTTTCACCCCTCGGCTTTTTCAACAAAAAAAAGAAAACATTTGCAAAAAAAAGTGTGGTATTCTGTCTCAAAGCTGTGGGGGCACCGCCCCTACGGCCCCAGAGTTGGGGGGCAAGCTTCCCCCACTGCCCCCCCCCCGGCGCCAGCGCCTATGTAAACGCATTCATAGTAATAACAAAATGGTAGAATAAACTCCCGTACATATAGGTCGGCGAGTGTTGAGCACTTCGTGTGTCACAACATTTTAAGGGTTCCCTACATTTGTAGATCCTAAATCCCGTAGCTTTGCGACTGTCAACACGTTCTAAATTATTCAACACATTCTGTGAATGATTTAGTTATTCTTACGCGAAAACAAGCATATTGGGGGGTACTGTACCCCCCAGGTAAATTATTGGGGGGGTCCCGACCCCCGCGTACTCCCCTGTGGCGGAGCCCCTGGGTACTTTTACTTGACTTTCCGGCATAACCTACTTTAATTCTGCACAAGATGTGGGCAGAAGCCAGGAGGCCCCCTCTGGTAGGCGACCCTTGATGGGCAGGAGGCCCCTTCTGGATGTGAGGCACCTTCTCACAAGAGGCCCTACCTGGGCAGTGGGCAGGAATCAAGAGGCCCCCCCCTGGCAGGAGATCCTTCATGGGCAGGAGGCCCCCGAGGCTCCCTCTGCACAGGAGGCCCTTACTGGGCAGGAGTCAGGAGGCCCTCTCTGGTAGGCGACCCTTGATGGGCAGGAGGCCCCTCTGGCAGGGGACCTTTTATGCACAGGAGACCCCTTCTGGATTTGAGGCACCCTCTCACAGGAGGCCCTAACTGGGCAGGAATCAAGAGGCCCCCTCTGGCAGGAGATCCTTCATGAGCAGGATGCCCCTGAGCCTCGCTCTGCACAGGAGGCCCTTTCTGGGCAGGAGGCAGGAGGCCCAATCTGGCAGGAGACCCTTCTGGATGGGAGACTCCCTTCTGCACAGAGGGCCCTGTCTGGGTGGGAACCAGGAGGCCCCCTTTGGCAAGAGATATTTTACTGGGCAGGAGGCCCCGAGGTTTCCTCTACGCAAGGGTCCTTTCTGGGCCGGAGTAAGGAGGCCCCCTCTCGCCTCTTGCAAGAGACCTTTTCTGGGTAGGAGGCCCTCTCTGGATGGGAGGCTCTCTCTGCACAAGAGGACATATCTTGGAAGCAGTCAGGAGGCCCCCTCTGCACAAAATGTCCTATCTGGGCAGGAGCCAAAAGGCCCCCTCTGGCTTTATGGGCAGGAGGCCCCGAGGCTCCCTCTGCACAGGAGGCACTTTGTGGGCTGGAGTCAGGAGGCCCCCTCTGGCAGGAGACCCTTTATTGGCAGGAGCCCCCTCTGGCAGAGGACCTTTCATGCTTAGGAAGCCCCTTCTGGAAGGGACGCTCCCTTCTGCACAGAGGTCCATATCTAGGCAGGAGCCGGGAGGCCCCATCTGGCAGGAGCTCCTTTATGGGCAGGAGACCTCGAGGCTTCCTCTGCACAGGGGCCCTTTCTGGGCAGGAGGCCCCTCTGGCCTCTGGCAACTTGCACGAGACCCTTTATGGGCAGGAGGCCCTCTCTTGGTGGGAGGCTACCTCTGCACGAGAGATTCGATGTGGGTAGGAGCAAGGAGGCCCCCTCCGGCAAGAGATCGTTAATAGACAGGACTGGGGTCCCCTTCTGAATGGGAGATTCCCTCTGCACATAGGCTCTAGCTTGGCATGAGCCAGGGGGGCCTGATTAGCAGGAGGCCCTCTACATGTAATTGGGAAGTTCCTCTACAGGACAGTGTCTCTGGACAGCAGACCCTCTCTGGATAAGAGGCTAGGCTTCAAATTAGGCTGATATTAGACTAACATGCTTCCCATCAAAACTCCTCCTGTTCAAGAACTACTGTGAAAAGGTTTTGACAGCTCTTTCTGATAAGGGAATTTTAGTTTTTTTTCCCCTAGGGTCAACAGCTTGTCATCCAGAGGGCAAAAAATTCAAAATATGACCTTTTTGGAAAACCTTTTCCGCCATCAATTTTTTACACTTGGCTTTTAGTACCTTGATTATACTGGCGTCGCATTTATTTCGTCTAGGCGCGTCAAATGATCTGTAAATTGACCTGGAAAAGAAGACTAGAATTTGACCTTACGTCAAGGTTACAGGCTATGTTGCGTATCAGTCGAGTTGTATCGTAAAAGCTGAACGCGTCTAAGGTGTTTGAATGAATCTAAGTTAACCCTCACCCTGGCAGGGCATTTTTTATAACGCGGCCTGGCAGGGAGGGGGGATTCGATGCGACCCCCGCCCTCGCAACTGGCTCCTATGGCAACTAGAAATACCAAATTTGGTAGGTAGGTAGGTGGCCCCCTTAGAATTCTCGCCCCTGTGCAAATTTGGTTGCTCTAGGTTTGGGAGGTATAAATGTAAAATTTTGCTAAAACAGGTAAAAAGTTTTTCGCTGATAACTTTTGATCTAATTAAGATAGAGCAAGACAAAAGCACCAGTGAGCTCAGCACGTCAAGGCGCGTCGAATGATATACTTTATTGCTTCCCTAAGTGTATTTTAACTTACGGGCAACTTAAGTCTTAAGAATCGTTGAAATGTTTAATGTTGCATATCATTCGACTCGGCTGTTCAAGAGGAACAGAATGATACCATTTTGAAAGCTTTATCTTTATTATGTGACAAGTTATTGGCACAAACGTCACTTGACCTCAGTTGACATAATTTGACCTGACTCTTGGATAAGTACACCAAACAAAGAAAAACCGAGTGACATAATGTTAAGTACTGTGGTATCAAAGGCTAAGCACAAAAGTGATAAAACAAAGCGGATATCTCTAGTATTTTCCGAATTGGAGTTATTTGAATATTTTCCCATAGGCTTAACATTACGACGTAATGACTAACAGACCTCAGGTCAGTGATATATAAAAACGAACTTTATGTTATACAACTTGGTGAACTTAGCACTTCCTGAAAGTTTGAAGGAAATCAGTCTAAACTGTGGGTTGGACACATACATAAAGAAAATTGAAATTTGACCGTAACCTTGTACCGGTTTTTCTGACCTAGTGGCCTGACCCAATGTCATGCGGACTTGAAATTTTCACGTCATATATATGTACAGTCCACAGCAGAAGTAATGTGCGGTTTCAGTCATGGGTAGGTATGTTCTGCTTCTGAAGCTTGGGAACGATTAGCCAGACTACAATGAATCTTTGAACGTAGCTTACATGCATCGTCACCCTTGCAGCTTGAACTTTATCTATTGACGTCTTTTTTCGAGCACTCCGGATTAAAAAACCGACAGTCAAAGCCATCCGTTGAGATCGGTAAAACCGCACATTACTTTAACGGTGGGCTGTCCAAAGGTTGCCCCATAGGCTATGCCAAATTAAGCACCTTAGGTGTGGGGATCGCATCGACCCCCTGCCAGGGCGAATGTTAATTTTTACTAATAACGCTAAGAACGTCACCAAACATACAGAGGCCCTAAAAAAGTAATCCATTTGGAGGCCCCCTCGATAGAGAAAGGCCCCCTGGCAAGCGGAATATGGAGGCCCCTTTGAGCCCGGGCCCCCTCCCCTGGAAAATCCTGGGTGCGCCCCTGAATGCGGCACTCTCCTGCCCAGTGGCTGTCGGCCGCCGCCGCTGCCCAGAACTCACCCTGTCCAGCAGGCTGTAGAGCTCATGGGGGTGCAGTTTCAGCACATCGCCCAGCTGCTGCGCAGCGGCCTTGCGCGTCAGTGACGACGATCCGTTCTCGAGGAGGACAAAGAGGCGCTCGAGCCTGCGGGCAGCCTCCGGCCGGCACAGCGTCAGCCGCAAAACACAGCGATTAATCCCATCAGTGGCAGGCTCCTGATTTAAGTAAACAGTAGAGAATGGAAAAAAACGATGATATATTTTTATGGGAATTTTACGGGAATACAGGAATATTTTCCCCGCAATTTTGGAGCTAGGTTACGAGTTACGAACTATTAGCCGACTTGTCTAATAATGCCAAAATTCGAAAATATGCCTACTGATAATCCCTAGGAACCTGACCTTTAACTTGGCATAAAAAGTGACTTAAGTACTTTCTTCATACTTTTGGTGCTCTTTGTTGAAATCACATGAAAATGTGGCGAGAAACCGCCGAAAATACAGACTGTTTGAAATCCAAAGTAAGAAACACGCACACGACAGAACTAGCATGCAAAGTCGAAGCGCTGTATCAGCTCGGTGACGGGGGAGGGTTGAGACAGACAACGGCCCGGGTGACGGGGGAGGGGTGAGACAGACATCGGCCCGGGTGGCCTACTCACCGGGTAGTCATGACTGAGGGCACAGCTCAGTGCTCAGTGCTGACACGGCGGCTGGTGTGTGTCCTGGGCCGTGCCGTCGCGCCGCACATAGCCAGTTCGGCTGACCAAGGAACAGATACTGTCAACTATATATTATATATATAGCCTAGATATATATATATATATATATATATATATATATATATATATATATATATATATATATATATATATATATATATATATATATATATATATATATATATATATATATATATATATATAGCCTAGAGAATCTTGGCAAGAAGCAAAACAACGCCCATATATATATATATATATATATATATATATATATATATATATATATATATATATATATATATATATATATATATATATATATATATATATATATATATATATATATATATATATATATATATATATATATATATATATATATATATATATATATATATATATATATATATATATATATATATATATATTCAATTCACACTGTTTGTTGAACGTTATCGCAGCTTTGTCACACGTTAACTTCTTACTAAGAGACTCTATCGTTCTTATCGTTTTACGGTCGTCGGTGTTATGTTCGAAGATGACATTTCCAAAACTCATTATCAATACATAGTTGAATAAAATCCAAAACATGACCTTAAGTTCAACGCGTTTCGTGTATGTCTCTACACATTTTCAAGAACAGGGTCATATCGGGTCACAAAGTTGAATAACATTATTTGAATTCATAATGCTGTCTCGTGCCAGTAACATAATGGTGTTTCGACTCTAAAAATAATCATAGACGGAAAATACCATACCAGTAAAACGCCTTTTGGGCGAAGAACGAGCGAGCGAGATAGTGAGCCCTGCACGTGCAGAAGGGCGAGAGGGTACTTCCAACGGGCTTGTGCAAAGCACCCTTCTAACCGGTCGCTGGCGGTGTACCAAATTTGAACGCAATCGGCCCAGCCGTTCCTGAGATCTGGAAGCGGCATTCTGCACGTGCGCACGTGCAAATGGGGTCCAAAATGACTTTTGCACGGCACCCTACTAACCGGTCCCCAACCGTGCACCAAATTTGAGCGCGATCGGCCCAGCCGTTCTCGAGATCTGGAAACGCCCCCTGCACGTGCGCACGTGCAGTAGCACCCTAACCGCAACACATGGGAATGCATTGCCTGGTGGGTGCCTACCTGTATGCCAAGTTTCAGCGAAATCGCCCCAGTAATTACCGAGTTACTGAAATGGGAACAAATTTGGCACCTCTTATTGTTGTATTTTGCACGTGCAGTGGGGGTCACTCACATAGATGAAGAGTATCCGACCTTTGGTAGAAGGGATGCAACTACCCTATAAAAATGACCGCAAGTCAATCGCCCAAGCGGCTGCTGAGATATGAGCCTATCAAAATCACTACTTTTGCAAAACAGCTTGAACACCCTTGACTTTTCACGTGGCACGTGCCACGACGGTCACTGAGGTGTATCAAAAGTAGTCAATTACGGGGTAGAAGGGATGGGGCTACCCAGCAAAAAAGACCGCATGCCAATCGGTCCAGCGGTTGCTGAGATATAAGCCTCTCAAAAGCGTTACAGGCCGGGCCGGGCCGGGCCGGGCCGCTCATACTGAGATTTTTCCGTTATATTGAAAAGACTCACTTCGCTCGCTGCGCTCGCTCGCTCGTAATAACATGACAGATGATAAACGTACAGTCGAAATTACACTACATAGTACATATTACATATATGATTACAGTGACGAGAAAGAGCGAGAGTGAAGGGGACGAAAAGGGGCGAATTGTTGTCGGAGGACGGCCTATTTAACACAATCGGGGCCCTTCGTACAGTTGAAGCGTACCCCTAGAATTTAACTGTCTGTTCATGGTGGGGTCCTCTTCTCTGATGTAGAGCGCCTCGAGCGCCAGGAGGCGTCTCCTGTCTGGCGCCCTGTCCAAGATGGTGGTGTTCGCGACGATTTCTTTTCGCGTCAGTGCCGTGCTGTGCCTGGTATGGGTGTGAACTTGCGGTGTTCCGTTCTGCAGGTGCATTGTCAGTCGTCTTGAGAGCGTCGTGGTTGTGCAGCCGATGTACCCGCTGTTTGGAAGGAGCGCGCAGTCTCCCATTCGACAATGGTAGCGGTATACTACGTTGCATTGTTTCAGTCACGTTTCGTCTTTGGTAAGATTGTTCTTCATGATGAGAGAAGATACAGTGAGACTTTGGTAGTAGATGTTCAGCTTCAGCTGGCTTGTGGCTTCTACTGGCTTACAATTACGGCTGATGATCTTCTTCAGCGCAGCCTCATCACTTTTGTGGCCTGGTGTCATCTGGTTTTTGTAGAACAAGTTGATGGTGTTCTTCTCGGTAGTCTCTGTCGGGTTGAGATGCTTGTCGATCGCGGTTCGAATTTGTCGGTCGATGGTCGTGAGGTCGTAGTCGTTGTTGACAAGCACTTGTTTGATTCGCTCGACTTCTTGATGGAAGAGTCGCCTCGCCATGTTGAACAGTGTTTTAAGGCTGGATGAATGTACGCCCTAACAACACTATCCTTGTACCGCTGGGGACACATGCTCTTGCCATTTAGGCACCTGCCCTCATCAGTGAGCTTGCGATGCACCGAAGTGGAGTAGTGCTGGTCGTCAGCTTCAATTGTCACATCCAGGAAGTTGATGGAGTCACCGATGCTGTGTTCGATGGTGAATGTGAGGCCTGATTCCTGCTCAAGACGCTGCTTCAGGGTGTCGATATTGACCAGCTCATCAACTTCAACGAGGATGTCATCCACGTAGCGACAGTAGAGGTTGGGACGTGTTGCCTCATCGGCCAGCGCCGTCTCCTCCACCGATGCCATGAACGCCTCAGCGAACACGCCAAGTGGCGAGCCCATGGCGATGCAGTCAATTTGCAGGTACAGTTGGCCGCTGGGACATCGGAACGGTGCTTTTGTCGTGCAGAGTCTGAGCATCGCGCGCATGACATGCTCCGGAATATCAGGCGCTGCAAGGGTGGCATGGCGGTACGCGTAGCCAGCAATGATGTCAATCGTTCTCTCCATCGGCACATTGGTGAAAAGACTGCTGACATCGAGTGACGCTAGTGTGCCTTGCCTGGTCTTGTTTTTCAACAGGTCGATGAACTCAGAAGATGACTTCAATGAGTATGTCAGCGGTACGTACGGTCTCAGGATCCGATTGAGTGTCTTCGCTAGTTGGTAGGTAGGTAATGGTACCTGAGAAATGATTGGACGGAGGGGGTAGTCTTGCTTGTGTGTCTTGACATTTCCATAAAAGTAGCCCGGCTGATAGTCACCAACAATCTTGTCAATCTTGTGTTCTGTGCTCACTTTATTTGCTGCACCGATGAGGTTGTTGGCACTTCTTTTCAGCTCTTCTGTAGGATTCCTCGTTATTTTCTTGAATTTCGTCTCATCTTGTAGTATTGCGGAAACTTTCCTGTCATAGTAGGCCTTGTTCAGTATCACAAACACCTGTGACTTGTCGGCCCGTCTCACTATCACATCCTTATTGTCACGAAGCTCCCTGGCTGCATGCCTTAGGCGAGGCTCTAAGGACGGTCCGTTCTTTCCGCTCCGATCTTTTGTGCTTTCTGCTTTCAGCTGGTCTTGCAGGTCTGGATTAACCAAGATTTCGTTCTGTGTTTTCAGTTGACATATATCCTGATAGAGAATCTCAAGCTCAGCTTTCTTGTGACGTTGAGAGTATTTAGGCGCAAGGTAGAATTTTGTGCCTAAGTTGAGCAAATCCTTTTGGTCTTCAGATAGTGTTACATCTGACAGGTTTATGTATCCATCTTTCTGCTGCTGTAGCGGCGCCCAGCCTCCATATAGGTTACATAGTTTCTTCTGTACACGGCTCTCTTGGGATCGTCTGTGTAAGTCTAGCTGTACTGTTAGAGCCCCGTCGGTTCGTCTCCTAAGATCGTCATTAAGCTCAAGACTGTCATAATTACGGAGCGAGCGAAGCGAGCGTAGTCTTTCCTTAGATTAACGGAAATTTCTGAGTATGAGCGGCCGGCCGGCCGGCCGGCCGTGGTCACGCTTTTGCGAGGCTTATATCTCAGCAACCACTTGACCGATTTACATGCGGTAATTTTTGTAGGGTAGCTTCATTCCTTCTACCAAGTATTGCACTATTCCCGATGCATGTGGGTGACCCCTTATGCACGTGCCACGTGCAAAACGAAGAGGTGTCACTTTTGTAATTGTTGCAATATCTCCGTAACTACTTGGCCGATTGCGCTGAAACTTGGCATGTAGGTAGGCACCCACTAGGCAATGCATATCCATGTGCCAGAGTTGGGGTGCTGCTGCACGTGCGCACGTGCAGGGGTCGATTCCAGATCTCGAGAACGGCTGGACCGATGGCGCTCAAATTTGGTACATGGTTAGGGACCGGTTAGTAGGGTGCCGTGCAAAAGTCAGTTGGGACCCATTTTGCACGTGCGCACGTGCAGGGTGCCGCTTCCAGATCTCGAGAACGGCTGGGCCGATTGAGCTCAAATTCGGCACATCGCTAGAGACCGGTTAGTAGGGTGCCGTGCACAAGTCAACTGGAGGTACCCCCTCGAAATTTCGCACGTGCAAGGCTCACCCTCTCGCTCGCTCCGTTACTCGCCCCAAAAGGCGTTATACTGGTAGATAAGAACGATAGAGCTCTTAGTAAGAAGTTAACGTGTGCCAAAGCTGCGATAACGTTCAACAAACAGTGTGAATTGAATAACTTGCTTCCTTCTTTTACGAATATAGGTATATATATATATATATATATATATATATATATATATATATATATATATATATATATATATATTGAAAAGAAATGCAACTTCGTTTTGCACCAATATTTACGAAAAAAAAACACACTTCGGAGTCGATCGTATATGTGCATGTAAAACTAACAGTTTCGGGTGCCTCGCATTGGCGGATGGGCAAGTTATTAATTTGAATGAAAAGTGGCGAAAAAATGTGTTGATTTTCATTCAGTGGGAACAGTTTGTGATAAGAGTTTACAAATGCACCGCGTTTGCCGCAATGCGCCATTTGCGTCTCCGGGAGTCATTTTTTCCACAAATCGCACAACTTTGTAAAATATGGTCCGTTAAAGGTACGTACAATTTAGTGCCGGAATGCACGCTCGAACGAAAAGTAGGGGAAGCCGGGGGAAGCCCGGCATAGTAAGCTCTTTTTCATTTTTATTACATACCATACGTGCTGTATAAAATGTTGATATCCTGCTAGCTAGCTAAGTTCATTGGCCGTGTTTCCCCAAAAATTCGGTTTCGTGGAATAAGTATAGGTAAGGTTGACAAAATCGAGTTTTAAAAAAGTGTTGATTTTTCTGGGGTAAGCCCGGCATAGGGGTAACGCCGGCCACCTCCCCAGCGCTTTACAACGAGTTGATGAAACCATTATGCGTTTTCCAAATATTAACGGAAAGTGAAATATTAAGGTACTGATTAGCTCTGGACATCTTAGAGTTTATGTTACTACTGGTATTTTAGCTAGCGTCTACTGCATATACAGTACAGGTCGATGAAAATCCTGATGCATAATTGACAAAAAATGTGTATTTCAAAATTCCTTAAAATTTATTTTTCTTTTTACCTTAACCCGCGAGTTGCTGGGGGGGGCGTTAAACGCCCCCACTTTTTTCGCCGGGCCATAGCATAAAAACGGCGCGCCGCAGGCGCGCCAAATTTTGGGTACCCGTAGGCAATTGATTGAAGTTTATTGTGACAAAGTTTCAAAAAAATCGGTCGGAAAATTTTTGAGATATCGAGGTTTTAGTGACGTCATGATTTCTGAGTTTTCGACCAAAAACGGCATATCTTCAAAAAATCATATAAAATCACAGAATAGACATACAGACATGCCGTAAACGCCATTAGATTGCCAATACCAAGATCAATCAAATGGCTATCTTCGATTATTGATTATTGTTCCGCATTTTCCATAATCTTGAACTGAATCTTGGCAATTTTTCGTGACTACTTCACGACCATGATACATGCATTTCTTAAATTGAGCTTTTTGAGCCAAACACGTACACATATGATAAAATGAATGTCACCATCGTGTTCTACGCCCCAAATTACCTATAAAACATGTGTCACAGGCTGCGAATATCAGTTTTGATTTTCGGCGATATGTGCCTACCCGGTTGACCTGACCTTGACCCTGACCTATGCTTGACTGGCCCCTACATGGAGCTGACACTCTTGTAGGCCTTATATGATGGATTGTGCACCGTTTGAACAGAGTTTATGACGAGAGGCGCCCATTGCAAAGTCCTGGAGTCCATGCTACTGAAAGCCCGATTTCAGGTGTTTGACCTGACCTTGACCCGACCTGTGACCTCAAAATTCAACTTTAAAGTACTCATCTGAAGCGTCTCGTCGCGCTCTTTCGTTTGCCGCCTCGTGCGTTTCGCTGCGCCTATTGGTTCTCGAGTTATCGGCTGGGGGCGTTTAACGCCCCCCCCCCCCCAGCAAACGGTGGGTGGCGAAATACCCCAGCAACTGCCGGGTTAATGCATCATATTGCATATCATTCGACTCGGCTGATGAAGAAGAACACAACGACACCATTTTTGAAGCTCTAGCTTCATTGTCTGTCGCGTTATCTGCAAAAACGTAGTTTGACCCTAGTTGACCTTAAGTGACATGACTGGCTTTGTCTATGATAACATGTTTATTGTCGAAATTCATCTTTGATCTAGGTGTAAACCAAACCTGCTCAGTACCTATTATCTCATGGAAAACAGTGGTTTAGTGGCATTGCTCTCGGTTGGGGGTAAGCTTGGCCACTCGCCCGGGGTTACCCCAATGTGCTAATTTTTATTTAGAACATCGATATTCGAAAAAAAATGTCATACTTAAGCCAGCCTGCCTCGTCAACCCTCACTACAAACACTTAAACGGTCCTTACATAAAATTCGTATAAATATTAGTACTGTATGGTATAACATTAACAGTGCAAGATATCTCACTTTTTAGCTAAAAACCCTTAAAATATCATTTTTGCGCTATAACTTTAACAATATGCAATTTTTGTCAGCCTTAACTTTTTTGCTGGCGTTACCTTAGCTGCCACGCTGAAAGGACAAACAGTTGAGCATCTTATTGTGAATAATTTAGCCGGAAACGGGGTGGCCGGGCTTCCCCCGCGCCCGGGCTTCCCCCGGCTTCCCCTACAGATGCGCCGCATTTGCTGCAATGCACCAAATTTGTCACAATGCGCCATTTTGAGTCGCAAATTGCAAAATGGCCATAATTTTGTCAGATATGGTCCGATAAGGGTACAATTTGGTGCCAGGATGCATTCTCAAACGACAGGTACAGATGAACCGCCTTTGCCGCAGTGCACCACATTTGTCACAAAGCGCCATTTCCGACAAAATCGATTAAGGGTAATGTAATGGCACGAATAGGAGCAGGGCTAGAAGAACTTTTAAAGTCTGATTAAAAAAAAATATATCCAATTATCATGTGACCTTACATGACCCAATGGTGGGTAGTGGTAGGGGTAGTGGTAGGGGTAGGTGTAGTGGTAGTGGTAAGGGTAGTAGTAGGGGTAGGGGTAGTAGTAGGGGTAGTAGTAGGGGTAGTAGTAGGGGTAGTGGTAGGGGTAGTGGTAGGGGTAGAAGTATGGGTAGTAGTAGTGGTAGGGGTAGGGGTAGTGGTAGTGGTAGATGCAGGGGTAGGGGTAGTGGTAGGGGTAGTGGTAGGGGTAGTGGTAGGGGTAGGGGTAGTGGTTGGGGGTAGGGTAGGGGTAGGGGTAGGGTAGGGTAGGGTAGGGGTAGTGGTAGGATAGGAGTAGTAGTAGGGGTAGGGGTAGTGGTAGAGGTAGTAGTAGTAGTGGTAGGGGTAGTAGTAGGGGTAGTAGTAGGGGTAGTGGCAGGGGTAGTGGTAGGGGTAGGAGTATGGGTAGTAGTAGTGGTAGGGGTA